TTTCGGCCACACTCATTTCGATCGTTTCCGAACCTCATTTTTAAAGAAATAAATATTGTACCAGCATGCTGGTATGTTATATGCTTCGTGTTTGATGGTGCAATCACTTGATGGTGCCAGCAGCTAAAAATAAAAAAAAATATTGAAAAGGACAAAATTTAAAATAAAGAAAAAATAAAATTAAAATAAAGAAAAAATAAATATAAGCTTCTAAAAATTAAATGAAATAAAAAATTATATTTTTTCAAACCAATAAAATTTAAAAATAAAAAAAAAAATCAATCAAAAAGGGGGAAAATTAAATCAGAAACAAAAGTTCCTAATAATTTTATTAAAAAAAAAAGAAAATAGTAATTAAAAAAAAAGAAGTTTCTAAACATTAGATGATATTAAAAAAATATTTGTCTTTTTAAAACAATGGTGCCCAAAAATTTCAAATGGAAGTGCGCGCACCACTACATTGAAAACGCAACTTTTTTCACTAGTAAAAAGTATGAGTACACTCTAAAAATTAAAACATTTATTAATATAGTTTTTTTTTAATCAAAATAAAAGCCAAATTTAGGAAAAAGAGTGAAATCAGTACGCTCTAAAAATCGAAAATTTACTAATATAGTTTCTTTTAATAAAACAAGCTAAATTTATTTTTATTTTATTTATGTTTTCAAGTGCAAGATGAAATCAATTTTTTCAGTGCATAGTCGGTACGTTTACTCCGCAAATTGATTGCGCAACAATAACAAAAGCCAAGTAGAAGTAGCAACGACAGCCAATTAGTGAACAGTCGGATTTGGTTGCTTCAAAAACCTTCTCATAGCGTCGTTTCATGGAATGTAAAAATTTAGCCTTGCAATATAGTAAAAAGATAATGTGTTTATTTTTTCGTGCATTTGTTTTCTGTCAAACCTTAAAGAAATTTTGTAAACTTCATATATTTAAAAAAAAATTACTTCACAAGCAATTATTTTAGGAATTATGTTCTGAATTTTCCTAATGGGCCAGCATAAATGCTTGGGATTTTGGCAAGGGGACTCAAAGCGCGAGCACGGGGTTGTGACGGCGCGCGTGCTATGCTGAAGCGTTTAACAAAAACACTAAGCGTAGACGCGCTTATGGCGTGAGCAGCACTGTTTTAAAACAATAAAATCTAAAAATTAACAGAAAGTTCTATTATAAAAAAAAAAAATTCATTAAAAAAATTAATAAAGCAAGCTTTTAAAAATTAAATGAAGTCTAAAAATATATACTTTAAAAACTAACAAGTAATTTTTAGCAAAAAAAAACCGACTTCAACTCTCATATAAAAAAAAATATATATATATATATATATCTCATGATCCACTGATCGGATCTTAACCAGATTAGTATGGGACCACCTCTGAGACACTACCTTTCCGATGCAAGAATTATCAAAATCGGTTGACGTGGTCCAAAGTTATGCGGTTTTTTAGAAGTCGGTTAAAAAATAAGAAAAAATTTCCATTAAAAAAGGCTCAAGAAAATTGTTTAATATAATTGTTATAAGGCCATAAATAACAAAAACAAAGAAGAAAAACTGAATAAAAAACAAATTAAAAAAACCGCTGTCCCAGGATTCGAACTTTGGAATGGCAAAACCGATGACGGCGTAAAACCATAGACTTAATATGTTGTTTTTTGCAAATCGAATTCCGTAATTTCGGGCGTAAAACTTGGCCTAATTACTTCATTTTTGGTTTACTCTCTGGTAAGATTTTTGTCATAGAATTGCTAAATTTTTTTTAGAAGTGTCGTATAGAAGTCTTTTTTTTACATTACCACACATTTAAATTACCGAAATTTCTGTTACATTGGCATAAATGTTTTAACACCGCTCTGAAATACAGTTTAGGCGTATTTAAAAAAAGGGGAGGTCATCAATTCGTCAAAATATATTTTTTTAATGTATGTTACCGTAATGGACCACGTTATTCGATTTCTATAATTCTTTTTTTTAAGGGAAGGTGGTACCGCAGAGGTAGTCCCATATTAATTGCGTTTAGATCCGATCATTGGATCATGAAGAAATTAACGATAATCTTAAATTTCTATATGAGAATTGAAGTCGGATTTGTTTTTTTTTTTGCTTAAAAACTTTTTGTTCCTGAGCACTGAAAAAGATTAATAGATTACGTTTAAAAGGAAGTTAAGCTCTAACTTATGGTAGCAACGGCCGGAAAAAGCATGTTCTTTTTCCTAAACGAAATCTTCTGGACATTTTCGTTCAGAAATCAGCCAAAGTCTTTAGACCAGAGGTGGTCAAAACTCACCCAATTATATATTTCAATTTTGCTAAACGATATAATTAAAATTGAAATTAAAGCAAATAGTTCAATTAATTTGTATTAATCTTCTTATTTTGAATCAAAAGAAAAGCGATTTTTTTTAACATTATTTTAAATTCATCTGTTTTTAGTTATGTCCATATGAACGAAATAATTTATTAATTCAATATTTGGGAATAAGGGGAAATGACGCTATAATGGCGCTTAACAAAAATGTTTGTCGCCCGTGCGATGTCTTCATGACACACCAAACATTAGTTGCGTTCGATAACAAAATTAGCCAACACCAGCTAACAATCAAAATCAAGAGAGTAACCGAAATTCTCTCCCAAAGAGATGAAAAGCAAAAAAGTAAACGAACAGGAAATTAGCCATTACTTGCAAAAACCGGAAGAAGAAGACACACCAGCTGAATTTGTTTATGTTTTATTTGTAAACAAACTGAAATTCATTTTGCAATGTTCGCCAGGAACACTTCTAGAAGTAAAAACTAGTTGGCGCTATCATAAAGTCACATAGCAGGCAGCCCAAAAGCATATAAATACCAAAACTCGGAAAATGCAATTTTGTTTGTTTACAAAAATTGCAACCATATGTTTTGTGATCATATGTTTTCGTGTTGGATAATTTTTGCTGACTAAAATTTTGCCAGTACAAAATGAACGCTTCTCTTGCATCAAAATGAACGCTTGCTCTCTCAATTTTTGTGTGTTGGATAATTTTTTGTCGTTATGGAACGCCATCCAGTAAAAATTTGGTAAAACTATTACAAATTTTTGACTTGTCGAACGCACCTAGTAAAAAATCTACATCCCAAGTCATATTAAACATTTATCGAGTCTTGCAGCGACTTGATTGCTTGAAAGTTTCGCATTTATTACAGCAAAACCATAATCGTCGGCGTCACTGATTCATAGAGTATGCTCATGTATGTCTGAAAGTAAAGTTTAGACCAATTTTTTGGGTTTTTTTCTTTTTTTTACAGATTCCGTTTTTGTTACATATTTCATAAAAAAAAATATTGTAAGCTGCACGGAACAATTTAAATTCATTAAATTTGAAAACTCACAACTACCTCCACCGCGATTTGAATTCGCGACCAACGATGGTTGAGTCGGATGTCATCTCGCTGAGCTACTTTCATATTGCGCGAGTAGTGAGCATTTACACATTTACACCGCAAGTTTCAACTGTCCCACTATGCATTCAGAGTTCAGTAAAAATCAAAACCCAACAGAATTCTACATGTGAAGTTCTATGCGTTGGATAACCGCTTACACGCAAAGCCCATTTAACAGATTCCTTATGTGACAACTCTCATGCAACGCTAAGTATGCATAACGGAGCTATTAGAAACAACACTTTTGGATGTTGCTTACACCAAGGATATAATAAGTGAACTGAATCACTGCTAGCCTCCTGCAATATTGTTAGCTACGCACACACGGTCTGTGCGTGAAAACACGTATTTCAAGCGGAAATTATTAGGGGTCTTCCCGTAAACTCGTAAAAGCCTAGTAAGCCTCGTAAATTTACGAGCCTCGGAAAAGAACTGTCAAAATTTTTATGGAGCTCTATTTTCGAGCCCCTCGTAAAATTACGAGGCAAATTTGATGCGCAAATGACCTCGTCAACTTCATTGTTGCCGAGGAGCCGAACATTTTATATTAAAATGCATTATATAATATTGAAAACGAATGAAAAATAATAATATGCGAATAAAAAGATATAAATCCTCTAACTGTACTTACATGGGTTTTCTGCTAATTTTTGGCATTTTTAATTTTATTTTAGCCAATAGTGATAGAGACGGCGGGCTGTTAGGGAAAGTACTATGAAGCAAAAACTGTTTCACAAAATCCTGCTTGATCTTTCAAACAGTCACTTTACGCACCTATTTACACACTTTCACAAAAGGGGCGTTCCCATAAAAGCCTCGTAAACTTACGAGTTTTACACAGTTTAAGACTTTACGAGTTTAAGAGAATCCCCTAATTTCAAAAAACAATAATTTTTTTTTTTTAGATAAGCGGATATTGGCAAACTTTTTATCTCAAGCGCGAATTTTACAGAAACCCTTTATTCATGCCACAATTTAATAAACAACCGATTAATGTTACTTCACTGATTGCATCAGCTTAAAATTTTTGCGATGCAGTAACTTAAGAATTTATAAACATAAACATACATATTTAATAAATATCTATTCATTTATGCATACATACATACATGGTAAATGTTACTAGACATAACTTATTTTGTATATTTCTCTGTTTTTTTTTATCATTACAGAAAGGATACAAACCTTAAATGATTTATAGCGGTGTCGGCCGGTCAGCAATGTACTACACAAGCTCACCATATTTGATAAAATAAATAAAATGATATTTTAAGTTTTTCTACACAAGTAACCATAAAAATATTTATTTACTCATTCCTTAATAAAGTTTGTTCACGCAAATTAAAATTTTCTGCTTGAATAAATACAGATATAATATAATATATATATATATGGAATAACATGAAAAAGTATGAAAATAAAAACGTGTTATATTTTATAATAAATAAATGTAGTTATTACGTAAATAAACGATCGTCTGCTATTTTAAATTAACGAATAATGTATGTATTGGCGATACGTTGGGTACATTAGTCAAAAGCACTTTCTGTGTGACACAAATACTGTCAGTTTATTTATTTTTCGCAAGTGTTAGTTGCTAATCAAATAGGTTTTTTTTTTTTGGTTTCTTCTATACATTTTGTACAACTTAAGCTAATTGTCAAGAAAAACGAAGGAGGGTGGATATAAAAATATAGTATATGCATAAACTTAATCATCGGAATTTTGGTAATGCTTTCGGCGGAATGACGCTAATTTCAAACGTTGCATTTGTAGTGCTTGCTCCAGTTCTAAGACTTTTACATGTATCTCCATTTCCATTGTTTTTGCCTGCGACGAATTTAGCTTAGTGAAATCGACTTCATGTAACTGCTCTAGTGATTGGTTACAATCCTTAACGGTGGCCACCACTTGACCAGTCGCTTGTGAGACATCACGTGATGCTTTCGTTAAATCACCCAACTTTTGGCTCTCCTTGGGCGCTTTCACTTTACTTGCAATCACCAATTGTGCTGTACAGGCGGCAATTTCCTGCGCTGCGACTATTATTTCAAAGTTTTGCGCCGATTCGGATACGATAGCTTTGTTGGCAGCTTCCACAAGCAGATTGGCACCTTTGGCAACACTTTTTGCTGCAGATATCAGGCCCTCCGTCCATTGGCTGTTGCGTTTGTAGAACTCCTTAATTGAGGTGGTTCCTGTGTGAGAATGTGTATGTAGTATAGGTTTATTTGATAAAAATTATTTGGAAGCACTTACCTCGCCCTGCCGACACAATCTCCTCCTGCAAGGCCTTGGCTTTTCTTATCAATAGTTTGATACACTGCATTAGGAATGTGCAAGCATCGAGAATTTTCTCGTTCACTTCCAACTTTATGCCGTCATCTTTGCAGCGTGCGTTGGAGAGCAGCTCTACAAATTTCTCCGCAGCCTCTTCGATGGCTTTATCCATTTCGGCCAATTCGTTTTCCACTAAATCGCCTAAATCGATATTCTTACTGCTCGCCTTGTTCAGCTGAGCTACTGATTCATTTAGCGCGCTGAGTTTTAGCTTGATATCCGCAATGGAATATCGAATTTTCGAAATGTCTTCGCTATTTTTAATTTGCTGAAAGAGTGTGAGTAGCGGCTCCTTTGCGCTGTTTATTTGATTATAAATTTCTGCAAACAAAAATAGTTTTATTGAAATCACATGAGTTTATCTACTATCCACTTTTCACCTTCGCCCTTTCCTATATCGGTGGTTGTATTGTATATCAACAGGCACTGTTCATGTAACGTTACAAAAACGCAGCCCAAAAGTATTGTCTTTCGCGTGACATCGTCAACGAGTAGTTTATCTGTGATAAACTGTTCATAAGCGTTATCCGCTTGCTCTAATAACTCTTCCATATCACCCACCAGTTTTATTGTCTTATCGAAATTCGGTTGATTCGTTTCGTTTACCTTTGCCTCTGTCACTAATTCCATTGTCTTCAAAACATTTTTAAATAATGCAGTAATTCTGTTTTCATATTTTTCTACGCTTTTGCGTTTGGCCTCCACTTCTGATTGGTAGGCTGTGTTGCTTTCGTTAAATTTTTCCTGTAAATGGTTCTTCTGCTCAAGTAATTCATGTAGCTGTTCAGTATTAGTGCGTTGTAAGGTTTCCAAATCGGCCACGAGCACATTAGTTTCCTGAAATAAATAAATGTGGGTATACAAAAATTGAGAAAGATGATAGACTTGATTTAACAACAAATTCAGTCAAGTGAAAGGTTATACCATATGATATCAAAACAGGCTTCTATTCGACTATGTGAGAGGTAGCATACTCTCCAACCTTTCCAAGCTAACCTATACATTTGTTTGGTCAAAGAGTGATTGGTTTTTAGCCATATTTTATAGACAACTGGAAAGGAAGACTAGACACGGTACAACCCTCACTCTATCTATCTATCATTAGCTTCTTCTCTTTATTCATTTACAATTACAAAACGCATATACGCACCTTCAAATTAAGTTCTAAAGCATACAAATTAGTCTCCAACTCCTTAATATTTTCCACTTTCTCTAAAATCTCTTTTGCATGCATTTTTCGCAACTCATTTAAGTTTTCATCCCTCAGATCCAAACTTCTTTTGAATTCATCTAATATTACAGCGTGTTCCACTTGCTTTTTCGCGAGTTCTCCATTTACGGTGTTAAGCTGCGCTTCAAGCTGTGCTACTTTCGATTCACTTTCAATTAAAGCAGCCGTTTCTGTTTGCAGCTTCACTGCTTTGGCAGTTAATTCAGAAATTTCACTATTCTTATTAGTGGTAAAACTTTGGTATTCTTTTCTCAACTCTTCATGCTCATGTTGTAGCTTCTGATAATCACGTGATATTGTTTCGATTTGCGTTGCTAAAGCAAGCTTTTCAGCGCCGATTACTTCATTATTTTCAAGTTCGCCTTTGATTTCGTCAATTTTTGATGTGAGGGTCTCCACTTCGATTTTTAATTCAGCATTCGTTTGTTTTTCACGATTTAAATTTTTAGTAGATTCACCATGCTGTTGGAAATAGTGAAATATAAGAAATTGAATTCATACAAGCTGCTGTATAAGTTATGTATTGAATAGAAACGCAATAGTTCAATGAAAAACTCAGTTCAAAATATTGTAGTTAGTCTAACCAAGCATGTCATCTAAAATGTTTTAAATCAGATAAAAACCAAAATTAATACGTGAGCCGAATGTATACTATATATTTAAATTCGATTTAGTCTTTTTTCGTTNCATCTAAAATGTTTTAAATCAGATAAAAACCAAAATTAATACGTGAGCCGCATGTACACTATATATTTAAAGTTCGATTTAGTCTTTTCTCGTAACTTTTTTATTTTTGTGTTGTTTTGTAGCCCTTACCTGCCTCAATAAATTTATGTGCTCATCTCTTATTTGCGTGTACATAGCTTTTAGTTTGTTAAACTTTTCCTCTGATGTCTTAGCCTTTTGTTCCTCTTCGGTTGCCTTTTCTACAAGAAATGTTGTGAAATAAATACACAGCTATTTGTATTTTTCCGTTTTCACTATTTTTCGCACTTACGCACTAGAATTGGCGTCTCTACCAATTTTTGTTCCAAAGCTTCTTTCATAGCCTGCATATTTGCACAAAGTTCCTTTGAATGTGCCAATTCGCTAGTCAATCCGGCAATATCATTACGCAAACGTTTTAATTCGCGTTCGAAATTCTTTTCCATCATTTCATAATTCTGTTTACATGAAACCAACTCAGTCTGAACATCTTGCAATGCATATTCATAATCTCGAATAGTATTTTGTAAAGCGGCATTATCGACCAGGTCAGGTCCAGCAGCGGTTGGAGTACTAGCCGCTGACTCTTGTGTGATGCTTGTATCGACTAAATTTTCCATAGGTGGTTCCGGATCGGGTTGCACATACATTACAGGTGGCACATAGCTACCAAAATCTACTTTCGATGTGAAATTCGGTGCTGATTCTGGTAGATGTGGAACCTGTATCAAATCTGAGAAATACTGAAGAGGCCGTACATTGTCATAGAATACTTTGATTTTGAAAAACAGTTCACGAAAACGATCACGATGCCCAGTTAGAATATCATTTGGCAGCTTATCATGCAGCTTGAACATAACACGTACACACAAATCGTATAAGGGATTTGAGTCTTGTATGAGTGTAATTAAAGGTGCTAGCCGGCATTGACCCTGCGGTGTCATGGAAGACATGCGATATGCATTAATGGATGCAAACACTCGCGATTGCACGTCTAGAATGTCATCTAAATAGTCGAAAATTTCGACACAAAGCTGAAAACTAAAAAAGAAAGAATAAGTATGTACGTATATATGTATGTATGCATGTAGATATGTACATATGTATATAATAATATTTTTGCGGGGTTGTGGTTACTATATGTATGTATATACATATATCTGTGGACCAGTTACATATATTGTATTTGAGTTGAACTTTTATTTTTAAAGGTCATTTCTTTTTGAGATAAAAATTTTATTTTTTCCAATTGCCAAGAGCTCAACTATACAAAAATGTATTTTTAACAAATGCATCATAAAAAACAGATAAGACTTTTGGTATTATAAATAATAATGTTCATATTTGTAGGTGATTTTTTGGTTGCGTGGCTAAAACAGCAGTCGTTAATAATTCATTCGTTTTTTGATTGCTTTTCCAAACCTTTGGTTATTTGACCAGACGCAAAACTGATGAAGTGACAAAACAAATTCAAATATCTTGCAGCCGTTGCATGTACTAAACTAACCACGCGTAAATAGGTAAATGTTGATTTTAGCCTATGTGTGAGTAAGTACAAATAATTTTTTACCTTTTTAATCTAACTTTACATACTATTCATAAATTCTGCTAATCTCGTTCGGGTTTCAATTAATTCAATGTTAATACATATAAGTACTTGTTTACTTGGATATCTCTATACATAGGGTTCAATACTTACTAAATGTTGATGTCATCGTCGGCAGCTTTTTCAATTTCTTTGAAGTCTATCAATAGTGAACCGGGAAACAATACATTTTTCTCATGGAATTCCAGTTTTGTTACAACAAGCTTACTATAAGCTTGTATGCAATTGCCTACACCGTCTTGTAAATGTCCCCATAATTTACCCATTTCTAAGATCATTTTCTTATGAGTCTGCGAATCTTTGATGGCGCTTGTATGTCCCTCCCTTAGCACCTTATGAAGAAGATGACAAAATTTCCACGCAGTAAATCGATTCTCCATCAAAGGCTGACGTGTGAAAATCATCCAAAGAGACTTCGCTTCCTTAACGCGATGAGTGGTTATTATAATAAATCGTGCATGTTTCATTTTTAGCGGGGCCTCCATTGGATTTAGTGCTTTGTTAACACTAACAGACTTGAAATAGAAAAAAATATGTATATATTTAAACAGGTGAAACGCAAACTAATTATTCTCATATATACTTACCATGTTGTACATCTCTTTGTCGTACGTCGGAGCCATTTTTGTACGCAGTTTTCCCTCTATTGCTGAATTTTATTTAAAATTGACTTATAGGCATGCAACGAAAGTTTAGAAAGAACATACACCTGATGCAAGTTGGACAATCTCAATACACAATATATCTATATACACAGAATATGCCACACCTTTAGGCACTTTTGCATTTATCATATAAAAATATGCACATGAACTGGGCCAAATTTTGGAAACGAATAAAGCACGACGAACAACACCACTATTGATAGGCTTTTTATCTTATCTTCCAATAACATTCTTCCGCGCATACGTTTGTTCAAATAATTCCCCAATTGTTTCGGTGTCACCAAATCATATCTTTTAGCTTAAAATATTTAATATAAGGTCACTCTACCAATATAAACAATTGGAAATCGCAATTTGAGTCATTTATTGTGCAGATCAAAACATCTGGAAGCTAATGTTGCCGGTTGACTGCATTTTAAGTTTTGCAAGAATCTAAATAAGGGTAGTATTCGACTAAACAACTTTTGCGTGCGCATTTACGGCAGCATTTTGTTTGAAAGAAATACGCCCATGCCTTTGATTCAGTAATAAAATTAATAATAATAGTTGAATTGTACGCAAGCGTAGTGGGAGNTTGAAAGAAATACGCCCATGCCTTTGATTCAGTAATAAAATTAATAATAACAGTTGAATTGTACGCAAGCGTAGTGGGAGATCTGTATAAATATCAGAGTTGTGAAAAATGCATTAATTTTTTAATGCATTAATGGTATTTAAACCAGTAATGTTAATATAAAAAATTAATGCATTAATTTATGAAATTTAATGCAAATGAATATTTCAATGCCTTAATGAAAAATTTAATGCTAATGAAATTTTTTTTCATTAAATTATCCAAGCTAAAGCTAATGAAAAAGTTNTGTGAAAAATGCATTAATTTTTTAATGCATTAATGGTATTTAAACCAGTACTGTTAATATAAAAAATTAATGCATTAATTTATGAAATTTAATGCAAATGTTAATTCACTAAAATGTTTAATACTTTTGCTCATTTGCATTATTAAAGATCATTCTGATAAATATTTATAACAATTTTGTCAAGAAACTCTTAAACACAAAAATACCACTTCTGTACTCAAACTTTACAACATTTGTTTAGCACTTAGTCTGTTCCTTTGAACTTCGGACTAAAACCTGTGGAACTGTCAAACCACAATTTTACTCTCTCAAATGAGAGTAAAAGGAGAACAGATGCAGAAGTGCATAGGAACGCAAAAAGCACTATTTCCTGTAAAAACGTCAGTCGGTTTGTTTACATGTCATTTGTACAACACTGATTTAGCTGAAATATCACTAAATAATTATTAAAATCTATACATATTCAAACATTTCGTTGTTTACTTCCATTTTTTTACAAATATAAGGTACTTTGCTTTCACCGCTGTTAGTTTTTGCTTGCACATGCAAATCAGCTGATCGTTTGACACTTTTCATGAACTTACAGGAAAAGAAACTCCGGACTAAATCCTGTAACTTCTGACTAGGAACAGTTGCTCAGTTACTCTCTCAAATGTGTTCCCACTTACAGGTTTTATGTCAATAGGAACGACTTCCTGTAAGTTCTGACTAAATCCTGTAAACCGGACTGCTATTGGAACAGACTAGCTGAGGTGCGATGTACTGCCAAGATAAAGGCAAGTGGCACTCGGATTTATATAATTTTGTATTCTATCATTCTTGATATCTGTGGAAGAATTTTATGCTTCCAAACTGAAGCAACTAACATGTTGGGTTGTGTAATGCCCGCTTATGAAAAATTTAAACAACTTAATTTTATATATATATAGGATATTAATGAAACTGTCAATATTAGTTAATGAAAATAAGTGGCAGCGTCGCATACTTGCACGATTTGTACGGAAGTGTGATCAAAACAAACCAGAAAATATATAAATAAATAATATGTCGCATTTCCTGACGCGGTTAATTCTACTTTATTTCTTTTTTATAAGTAATATACATTGGAAAAAATCATCCACACAATATACCAAGGCGGAAGAAGTGATATTTGAAAGCAAAATATTGGAAAATGAGTATATCGTGCAGTACCGGCACTATTACTTTCCGGCTGCGAGACGAAAATTCTTAATTGCTGCCTTCCGTCGTTCCAATGTATGTAAACGTTCTTACCTTCAGAATATTTATTTAAATTTTAACATAATAGCTGCTTACAGATTGCTAATTGGAACATAATTGAACGACAGAATGCTGCACTTCATTACCCAAGTGATTTTGATGTTATACGATTGGATGCAGTCGACTGTCGACGATCTACTCACCTGACACCACTTGAATTGCATCCACTTATAAAAAAAATAACGCCACAACGTAGTGTGCAAAGAATCTTAAATTTTAATACCACTCATGAACGTATAGGTCGACACCTATTGCGCTCAGTGCCTACCCAAATCACAAATATGCTAAAAGCTGATGTGTTGTGGGGAATGGGCATCACGGGTGCAGGAGTGAAAGTGGCCGTTTTCGATACCGGTTTGGCTAACGCTCATCCACATTTTCGTCGTGTAAAGGAGCGCACTAACTGGACAAATGAGAAATCTTTAGATGACGGTGTTAGTCACGGCACTTTTGTTGCAGGAGTTATTGCATCAGCTAAAGAATGCTTAGGCCTAGCGCCAGATGTGGAGCTACACATTTACAGGGTTTTTACCAATTCGCAGGTAAATCAAACTTTTATCGNGCAGGAGTGAAAGTGGCCGTTTTCGATACCGGTTTGGCTAACGCTCATCCGCATTTTCGTCGTGTAAAGGAGCGCACTAACTGGACAAATGAGAAATCTCTAGATGACGGTGTTAGTCACGGCACGTTTGTTGCAGGAGTTATTGCATCAGCTAAAGAATGCTTAGGCCTAGCGCCAGATGTGGAACTACATATTTACAGGGTTTTTACCAATTCGCAGGTAAATCAAACTTTTGATTCAAAATCAATAAATTCAATACATATTTATAGCAACATTGCAGGTGTCATACACATCTTGGTTTTTGGACGCTTTCAATTATGCTATTTTCAAAAAAATTAAAGTTCTGAATTTAAGCATAGGGGGCCCCGATTTTCTGGATCATCCGTTTGTAGACAAGGTGCTTGAATTATCTGCAAATAAGGTTGTTATGATCTCTGCAATCGGAAACGACGGTCCACTCTACGGTACACTCAACAACCCAGGCGATCAAAGTGATGTTATAGGCGTAGGCGGAATAAATTTCGAACAAAAAGTAGCAAAATTTAGTTCTAGAGGCATGACCACTTGGGAGCTACCTTGGGGTTATGGTAGACTAAAGCCCGATATTGTAACGTTTGGTAGTCAGGTGAAAGGCAGCAATGTTCATGGTGGCTGTCGGTCGCTCTCTGGCACTTCAGTTGCTTCTCCAGTGGTAGCCGGAGCTGTGGCGTTAATAGCAAGCGGCGCACTCTCCAAACTGGATCTCATCAATCCCTCATCTATGAAACAGATATTAATCGAGGGAGCGGAACGTCTACCCGATAATAATATGTTTGAACAGGGGCATGGGAAGCTTGATATATTGAAAAGCATGCAATTGCTGTTAACATATGAGCCGAAAATAACTCTTAGCCCAGAATATTTGGATTTCACCGATAGTTATATGTGGCCATATAGCTCACAGCCGATTTTCTATGGCAGCATGTCGGTCATTGCAAATGTTACCATATTAAATGGAATAGCCGTGACGGGAGTAATCAAGGAAGAGCCAGTATGGCACCCACATGCAGATAGACATGGAAATATTTTAAATGTTGCGGTTTCTTATTCGGCAAGTTTATGGCCATGGTCAGGGTGGATGTCGGTTCATATAGGTAAGCTGTTTGAAAACCAAGAGATTGGTTGAACATCCGAACTAGTATTTTGGAAAATAAAAATTTGTAATTTCAGCTGTAAACAAAAATGGTCATGTTTTTAAAGGTGTTGCTGAAGGACATATAAGTCTAGAAATCGAGTGCTTACAGGAACAGCAAGAACGAACTGTTTTGACCAAAATAAACTTTCCTCTAAAGGTAGCTGTCATACCGAAACCTCCCCGAAATAAGCGTATACTTTGGGATCAATTCCACAGTTTGAAATACCCTCCGGGTTATATACCACGTGACAACCTGAAAATTAAATCCGATCCGCTAGATTGGCGTGCCGATCACCTGCATACCAATTTTCGTGATTTGTATACCCATTTGCGCAATACTGGCTACTATATAGACATTTTGCGTATGCCCTACACTTGCTTCAACGCTTCTGAGTATGGCACACTCCTCATCGTTGACCCCGAAGAAGAATACTTCGATGCAGAAATAAAAAAGATTGAAAATGATGTATATAATGAGGGATTGAGCGTGATAGTATTTGCTGATTGGTATAATACTACGGTAATGAAAAAAATTAAATTTTTCGACGAAAATACCCGCCAATGGTGGATACCGGATACGGGGGGTGCTAATATACCAGCGCTAAATGAGTTACTAAAGGCTTATGGCATTGCGTTTAGTGATTTCATCGCCGAAGGTTTTTTCACCATGGGCGATCATTCAATGTATATTGCCAGTGGCACAACTTTAGCGAAAATACCGCGTGGAACAGACGACATCGTTATAGGTGCAGATGTGCATGATCAAGGCTTTGAGGTAAACCTATTTATTTCTTATATTTGAGTACGTTCATACATACATACTTAAATAATATGTATTTACGCTTTTCGCAGATTTTAGAAAACCCCAATACGGTTGATAATAAAAAGGTATTCAAGCCAATTCTAGGCCTCTTTCAAACGGAAAATGAGCTACGCAAGCAATTTTTAGTGGATAATGCGCAAACACCTTCTAGCTATGAAGAGAATAATGTTGAGCAACCAAATATTGAGACAGAGATATCAGCTGAAAGGAATCCCATAATCAACAAACGCATATTGCTCGATTTGAAAATTGGAAAATTCAGTAACAATAATTACAACAAAAACAATGATGATACACTTAATAAGCCTTCTGAAAAAAATAGTAAAAATTCAAAACAAATACTGCAACCTATGTCGATAAGTAGCACCAGTTCAAGTGGACGCATTGCAGTGTTCAGTGATTCAAATTGTTTAGACTCCATTCACCTGGAGAAGGCATGCTTTTGGTTATTAGATGCTATACTTGAATACACCATGAATTCGCACAAATCTGAACTGCTGCAAAAATTGAATCACGTTTCAGAGTTTTATCCCAATTCTGTGCGAATTCCGCCATTGCGTTTACATAGCAGTAATTTGCATTTGCACTCGAAAGTTATTGACTCAAATAACAAATTTCACAAAAAAGAGACTGGGGCATGTGAAAACCTCGATTGGCTGCAGCCGCAGAGTGTTAACGCAGCTGAACTCAAATTAACTGCGAACCGAGTGAAGCAAATCGATTTGAATTTACTAAAAGCTAATGCAGGTAAGCGTGATTCTATTTAACTAGAGGCGGATGTGATATTAATTTTTAACTCACATGATTTTTATTTTTATCTTAAAGATCGAAACGTTGCGGAAATATTAAATTCACATGTCGAGGCTAAAC